TGTAAATAGTGTATATACTCTATAAATATTCGAGCGTAATCTTAATAAACGACTTCGTGATCGCGGCCCAGTCTTCTTGCTTCCCGGAGGGCTACACGACATGGCGACGGAGGAGAAGAAGCCGACGCACCGGAACCCGCCCATTTTTAGTGGGCAGCCGTCGATCACACTGCCGACCGCTCTGCAGATGACTGAAAGCATGCTGCCAGAGAACTGGAGAATGTGGAAGTCGAAGTGGAGGGATTTAGTCACTTTGACCCAGTTGGATACTCAACCAATCACGTACCAGTTGGCGATGTTTAGGCACGCTGTGGGTGATGAAGCCAGGAGGGTGCTGGAAACATTGGAGCTCAGTAAGGCAGGTGAGGAACTTGAAATTTCGGTATTGCTGAGAAGATTCGGGGCGTTTTGCGAAGAGCAGGTAAATGAAACGTATCAATGGTAGTTATTTCTTTGTTCGCGATCGATCCCCAGGCGAATTGTTCGAGACTTACATAACAGAACTGAAACTGTTGGTGCGCAACTGAAACTTCTGCAATTGCATGCGAGACTCCTTGATACATGATCGTATTGTCTTTGGCATAAAGAATGATGAGCTCAATCGGCGCCTTCTGAGACAGAGGAACCTGTCTTTGGAACAATGTGTGGACGTTTGCTTGGGTGAAGCAAGGACGGCGCAGCAGTTCGAGCATGTGAGACCTGAAACAAACACCGACCTATGCGTGGTATCCCGAACTAGCAACAGTCCGCCCCAGACACCCGAAGGACAGGGTCTGAGTTGTCAGTTTTGCGGTCGTGTACATCCAAGAAGAAATGAGAGCTGCCCAGTTTGGAGTCGAACGTACACAAAATGTTCCAAGAAGAACTTTACTGCTCGCTGTTGCAGATCCGCTAAGGGCCAGCCCAGCAGTCGCGAGCATCAACGAACAGTTACAAGAGTTTTCGATAAGCAACTTGGAAAATCGTGGAGAACACATGCGTGTTTTCGCGACGCTTTTGATTCGAGGACGACCGGTGCGCTTCCAACTGGACTCAGGGGCTATTGTCAATATCCTACCTGAGAAGCACTGTGTGGGAACGATATGTGACAGGACGCGCAATTGCCTCAGAATGTGGAATGGTTCGAAGCTGCTGCCGTAAGGTACCGCCACGTTGAAGTCATCAATCCGAAAAACGGCACAGAACACCAACTCGATTTCCTGGTAGTCTCAGGAGACCTTATGCCCATTTTGCGTATTGATTCTATTCAAAGCCTCGGTTTTATCTCTTTTAACCATGAAAGTTTCGTCCATTCGTGTGCAGATAACATAGATATTGTTGACAGCTGCCCAAGCGTGTTTGTTGGGGTCGTAGGAAGATTCGAAGAGTGTGCTCATTTATCTTTAATCGAATCCACTAAGCCGGTAGTGTTGCTGACCAGAAAGGTGTCTATTGCCTTAAGTGAGAAATTTTTAGACGATCTGTAACATCATGCTAGTTTTGATGTAATAGCCAAACTTGAGGAGCCGACGGATTGGGTTAGCCAGGTGGCGATCGTTACGAAGAACTCTGGAGAACTACGCGTGTGCGTTGACCCAAAACCACTTAACGCCGCACTCAGGAGGGAGCATTATACGCTACCGATGCTAGACGACGTACTACAGGTGCTATCCAGAGCTAGACTCTTCTGTAAAGTCGACCTTGCTTCTGCGTTTTGGCATGTATTACTTGATGAAGAGTCAAGCTACCTGACCACGTTTTGGACACCTTTCGGGCGTTTCCGCTGACTACGTTTGCCGTTTGGACTGAAGGTATCTAGCTAGATATTCCAGCAACGACTGGTGCAGGTTTTAGACAATTTATCAGGAACGTTCTGTGTAGCAGACGACGTTTTACTTTTCGGCGCAACGCGAGAGGAGCACGATCAGAACCTTCACCGATTTTTGCAGTGCTGTTTTGAAAAAAACATCAAGCTGAAACGTGAGATCGAGTTGCGGAGGACGGAAGTGGTGTTTCATGGACACGTGTTAAGCTCCAAATTACTAAAACTAGACCCAGAGCAAGTCAGGGCCATCAAACTGATGCCTCCCCCTACTGACGTGAAAGCCGTTAGCAGGCTGAATGGGATGGTGAATTACCTGTCGTTTCTTGCCCAGATTAGGCGATGTAATGGTACCAATTCGAAAACTGACGCATAAGAGTGAGAAGTGGCATTGGGATGCGGAGCAAGAGAGAGCATTTCAGAAAATATAGGAGTTGATCACGAGCGCCCCCGTTCTCGCTTACTATAACCCAGCACTTCCGCTCGAGATCCAGTGTGACAGCAGTCAGTATGGTATCGGAGCCGTACTCATGCAGAACGATAAGCCTATCGACTTTCGCAGCCGGACGCTAACAGAGACCGAGCGTCGTTACACGCAAATAGAGAATGAAATGCTTGCATTTGTCTACCCCTGGAGCGTTTCATTGACTATACGTTTGGCCGCAAATCCACCGTCTTTGCCGACCACAAGCCCCTAATGTCGATCGTCAGCATGCCGCTCCATGTTGTTCCACGCCGCCTGCAAAGGATGCTTATTCCTCTGCAGAAATCTGATCTAGTGATTGTCTACTGGCCAAGATCCTAGATGCACATTATGGACACGCTGTTAAGAGCGCACCTGTCAGACACGCCAGGAAAGGAAGAAGACCCAGGTCTTATCCATGCAACACAGCTGATCGCCGTCACTGAGGAACGCTTGCAGCATCTCTAACGATACACTAAGGAGGACGAATTGTGTAGGCTGCTGAAGCACACGATCATGAACGGATAGCCCGAGGACAAGAAAAAGTTACCAAAGGAGCTGACTCCATTCTTCCATTTTCGTGACGAACTCATTACTCAGCATGGATTAATATTCAAAGGCAACAGGATAGTGTTTCCAAAGGCACTGCAGCGTTCGATGCTGGAGCTGCTACATTGTGCACATTTAGGAACCAACCACTGCGTGACAAGAGCTAGTGAGCTGTTCTGGCCCAGAATGACCAGCCAAATACGTGAGTACGTCTCCAATTGTGTAGCATGCAAACCACACGACGTACGCCAGCCAAAAGAACCGATGATGCTGCGTGACATTCTTGACAGACCCTTGCAGATGGTTGCACTAGACATTTTTTCTCACGATGGAAGTAACTATATGATTGTGGTAGGTTATTTAGTGACTACTTCGAGATCGATGCGCGATTGGCGGACTAGAACGCAATCCCTGGTGAACAAGTTGTGGTGCCAATTCGCTCGGCATGGAATACCCGAGGTGGTAATTTCAAACCACGAGCCGCAGTTCAATAGTGCAGCGTTTCGTGCATTCAGCAAGAAGTGGGATTTTCGTCACCGGATAATCAGCTCATACCATAGCCGATCAAACGGTAATGCTGAGTCCGCAGTGAAGGAGGCGAAGAAAGTGCTTACAAAAGCCAACGAGACCCATCAAGATCCGCACATAATGCTACTGAACCGAAGGAATACACCATCTACTGATGTCGAAGCGAGTCCTGCACAGCGTCTGTTCAGTCGCCGAACAAGAACGCTAATACCGACCGCTACAACTGCATCCCGAGATAGCGTCGTCCGATGTCCTACACGACCGACTACGGAACAGAATGCTAAGGCAAATAGGTACTATGATCGCGGATCAAAGAGCCTCCCACCACTAGGTACAGGAGAAGAAGTATGGATGAAGCCATTACCGGAATCCGGTGGATGCTGGCGGAGAGGAGTGATCGAAGGCCGGAAGGGAGAGAGGAGCTATGAAGTCAAGGTTGGGGGCAATCTCATTCGACGGAATCGGGTGCAACTGAGAAGAATGCGTCAGAAGTGAACACCGCAGAGAGCGTCAGCAACAACAACCGGAGAGGAATACTGCTACCCAAGTCCAGGATATTAATCGTACAGGAAGTGGTAGGTAACACGAAACATATTGTAACGCCATCCTAAAAATGAGAAAGGAAAGGATGTGATGGGGCTGGAAGTGCTGCTGATTAGAAATGCCATAATACCGATCGAACGTCACAGGCCAGACCGATAAGGAGTGATCATGTTGCCGGAAGCAAATTGATCAGCCAATCAGGAAATAGTTGGCCCGTACTCGCGTCCACCTTGCAGCTATCTACTGAACGTGCAAGTGACCAATCAGGCGCCAGCAGGCGAAGGAGCATATACTCGTGCACCCTTGGGCCAAAGCTTGTGTCATTGGACCGAGAGAAGAAGCGCGCGGGCCCAATGCCGCCAATCGTACATCCACTAAGAAAGTCAAGGTGATTTTAGACAGAGTGAACGTGGCAAGCAAGCATAAACCAATGGAAAGGGAGCCAACGACACAATGCAAATCACAGGGATGGGCCACTGAGACGGACTGTTGTAAATAGTGTATATACTCTATAAATATTCGAGCGTAATCTTCATAAACGACTTCGTGATCGCGGTCCAGTCTTCTTGCTTCTCGGAGGGCTACACCACAGCTTCTTGGATCACTAGGACCTTATCCGAGCGATAGATATTTTCGGCATTTCTCGTTTTCAGCACCGTAGTTCAGGACCAATCCTGATTTGGTTTTTGCTTTTCAGATAAGTTAGCAGGAACTGGGAATCCACTCTGGTGCTTTATTGTTTCCGGTACATCTGTCGGTCATTGCGCATTGCTATCGACAGTTGTTTCGGTGATCTGTACTTCCTTATTGGGTTTTGTAATACCCCCTTTACGACTGGATTGCGATATGCCCTCTCTACACACGACTTGGAGGAAACCCGACTGCCTCCATCATCCTGATCGTATTTTGTGCCTGTTGTTGGTTGTCGACTGTACGAGACTTACATGCCATCCACTCTTCTCACTGACGCTAAAGAATAACTGCACTGTTTACCGGTATGCTCCCTTTCTTCCGCTTCTCTTTTATTTGTTTTCGCTGGAGCTTTCTACAACATTCCTCACGTGTAGCAATTTCATGTCTGGTTCCCATCATCAGTCTACTTTGTCTTCACTTTAGGCGTGATATGGCTGCCTGTTGGCTCAATGGCGTCCCCCTCGGAATCTCCTAACGCCCCCTACTCGCCTTCCGGACGAAAGGCTATCAATTCGCAGCTCATTTTCATGGTCGATTGTCTGGAACGTAAGGTGTCTTCATCAGCTCCACATTCTTTCGCAGACACCTCATGGTCAGATTTCCAGTACAATTCGCCTCCGCGGCCTCATAGCCCCCTTTCTGTGTCTCCGCCTACATCCTCCGCAAGTATCCATGAATCATTAGATCGCCTCCGTCGAGCACTCATGCGTCGGCAACATCGTACAACTTGGGGTCCTGATGAACAGAATCGGCCTTCCATCTCTCTCCTTCTTATTGTCCTTGATGACGTGTGGGACCTAGACATTGGTCGCATTCTAGCTGGGATGCCAGCCGCTTTCCTGGTCACCTCACGTGATCAAAATGTCCTTCAGTATGTGGAGACACCTGTGGACCGAGTAAGTATCGATTGCTCTTACCTCTGATGAATATCATACGACTGCTACTTTATCGCCTCTTTCCTTCTACCAGGGTCATTGGTCTTACCTCAATGTCATGGTTTATCATTGCCTCTCGTTATCGACCCGGTTCCGGTGTTTGCTCGAGACATATTAGCTGTGAAGGCGCCGGCGGTCAAGCCTTACTAGCACCCTTATGTTGGTCGATCTGATGGACTAGGTTTCACAACCGTACATTATGGTTGAAAGGACGGCTGCGCTGCAACTTTTACCGTTCACAAAGCGAAATGCATGTCACGCCTACTCCATAAGTAACGAATTTCAGCAAAACGGCGTTAAGCTTTTGATATATGTGTTGTCACTTCATCTATTCCATAAGTTATGGTACCTCTACGCAGGCGGTTGAATTTCCCAAAGACCTCTGCTTGATTTCCATCAGCGGGTGGTCCTCCTCTTGGGTGCAATGCAGAGCCCAAAACAATTGATATCCAGTGATAATTTGTCCAGGGCTGTTTGGCACGTTTATGAGCTGTCGCAGATCAATCTCATTGGCATACCCCAAGTCCGGAAGTCGATCACCTGGAAGCAACTCTATGGCTGTTGTATCGTGTCCACTGAACACGGTTTCCATATCTTCTTCTTCAGCGCAATTAGAAGGGATGGTACCAGCTGACGTCTTTGTCTCAAACCGCTGATGTTGCATTCTTGATACTTCTTCACCGCAGTTGGGCTAAACCAACTTACACTTAAACTAGGTCTTTTTAAGCTGGCTAAATTTCATTCCACTTTATTTAGTTTGTTCTGCCTACCTGAATACTCTTCTATTAACTGGCCACGTTGCTTGCATTAATTGCGCTTATCTTTAGTAACTCTGTTGCGTTTTGTTGCATTTTTAACTAACTTGTGGACATTTTTTCCTTATCTCGGATTTGTTGCTAACCAACTTACTTCATATGCTTATTTAGCTTAGAGTTATGCCACCGTATCTGTATACATTATTGTATTTGTTTTATTTCATCTTGTCGTTCCAGGTGATTAGCTGTTGCTTGATATTCCCGGTGTGGCTGCGCTTGATGTGCATGTTGACAAGGTGCCTACCTGTCTGTTACCCACTACCTCGTCCATACTGGCTCCAGGAGACAGTTGGTCGTTGCTGGAGGAGACGGGGTGCACGGTCCTTGTGGCCGTGCTAGGCATGAAGAGTGGTTCCATGCACTCAGTGTGAAGCGGACTACGGTCCAGCCACCGCCTTGTGTGCGATTGATTCCCACATACAGCGTGCTTGTGTTTGCCTGTGAAGGAGTGTGGGCCGACTCCGTTGATGAAACGTGGCTCCCATCCACATGCCTCCCGGTCTTATTCCTTCGGGTTTACACTGGATATGGGGTGTGTGGTTGGAGCTGTGGGTGGTGCAGCGCAAGCCATCCATGGTCCCTCTGTAGGCGCAGGCGTCCTGTGTCTGGCCACAGTGACAGGCAAATCCGAAACCGGATGCCGCCAACCATGTAACCTCAACAGCCTAGCAACTAGACATAGAGCCAACAAAGCCATAGAGATTAGCAGATAAGGGAAGTCACTGCGTCATAATCATCGCGGCATGGTAGTTGAAGGTGAGCAACACACTTCAGCTAATATGCCGCAGGAAGAATGGAACATTTTAACAAAAAGTAGAACAAAACATTTTAGTTAGTTTTTCACGCGCCAATTTTTCACTTTTTTGTCATTGTCAATGTTTGTAGTATTAAACGTGTGAATCAATACAATACTGTACACAATTCTTCCACTGACTCCGTTTGTGGGCCATATCTTCAAGAGTGCTAAGCCATTGGCACTCCTCATCTTTGGGTCCCCATCCTGGAAAACGTACGGATCCAACAGCGGCTAGACACGACGTCAACGATTTCATGTGCTGCCGCCAAGTGGAAGGCTGACCACCACGTGGTCGCTTCCAGCCAGGTCCTTGACGAGCGAATAGAGCGCGACGCGGTAGACGCTCAGGTGCCATGCGTAGGACATAACCGAGCCATCTTAACTGGCGCAACAAAACCAGTTTGTTGGAGGGAATACTCGCATTCCACAAGATGGGACGTCGAACGTCATTACTATTGACTCGATGTTGCCACCAAACACGAGCGATGCTATTTAAGCAACCGTTATCGATTGCAGAAAGGCGACGCATGTCTTCCATGCGAATCGGCCAGGGCTCGCACCCATACAACAACCGCTGGAGTTAATAGATGACAGCGACAGTCTTCTCTAAACCCTCATTTTGTCCGAGCTACTTGCATAAAGCGCTCTGATGCTGTTTACGTGTTTCTCGGTCACACTTTCCTAGTCCCGTTGGGCAAATCAATCCGACTGCTATTTATGGCAGAGTATCACGAGACGTTACACAGCGCATGCTCTTTCTCTAAGCGAATTTTTATTGCATTTAGCTGTATACTTTCTATCTTGGGCTTCCTCAGTCGATGTACCCACTAATGTTGTCTATGTTCCGACCATTGTACCTCCACAACACTCCTATCTGATTGTGACAGCGCGTCGCCTCGCGGATCTGTATTGACCCACCCGGTTGTTTCGCCACGCACTATCTTGTATAAACGATGCTTCTCCCGTTTTCTGCAACCCTTACCTGATTCATGATTCTGGTCACACTAATATGGTCATCGTTTTCACGACCCTGGGCTTTCTATTCATCGTGTTGTGTAGCGTTTCACACAGGCACGCCCCAACATCCTGTTTATTGTGCATCAATGGCTACTCTATTGGCGGAGAGAGCGAAGGTTTCACTGCATCTCACCGCAGTTTTTAATCTGGAACTCGTTATTGTCCACACGTAGCTGTACATCTGTTTTATGAATAGCCTAAGCGTTGGGTGTCGATGTTTCCTTTCTCTCACTTTACTTACTGCGTCGCCATGACGTCAGTCTCAAGCTCAGTGATGACGCGTACAATGTTTCCTCCGTATGGCCTTGCTGTACGGCTGTAAGACCTGACCTGTTCGCTCCGAAAACATAAGACGACTGTCAGTTCTGGACAACATAGTCTGCTAAGGATCGTTCATGTGTGTTGGCAACATAACACAACCAATACGGAGGTTCGTGAATGAGTGCTTGGAGCGAATAGCCTTAGTCTTCAAAATGTTATTCCCCGACACAGCATGCGCTGGATCGGCCATGTACTGCGGATACCAGCCTATCGCCTTCCCCGGCGAGCGTTATTTGCGCTTCCCGGAAGCGATTGGAAAAAGTATCGCGGTACACATGAAAAAGGAGCATGAAGAAAGCATCCTCAAACTCAACTTCATTCGAATCAGCGCTCGTCCCAGGTTGGAGGCCACATGACTCGGAATTCCTTTGGTTGCAAACGCTGAATGTACTGGCACGTAACGATTATCAATGGCGCCAGTGTTGTTGTGCTGTTTTGTCTGTTGATTAATATATATATATATATATATATATATATATGCATATATGCATATATGCATATATGCCTGGCGGTATCCGGTTTCGGATTTGCCTGTCACTGTGGCCAGACACAGGACGCCTACGCCTACAGAGGGATCTTGGGTGGCTTGCGCTGCACCATTCACAACTCCAACCACACACCCCATATCCAGTGTAAACCCGAAGGAATAAGACCGGGCGGCATGTGGATGGGAGCCACGTTTCATCAACGGAGTCGGCCCACACTCCTTCACAGGCAAACACAAGCACGCTGTATTTGGGGAATCAAGCGCGCACAAGACGGTGGCTGGACCGTAGTCCGTTCCACACTGAGTTCATGGAACCACTCTTTGATCCTAACACGACCACAAGAAACGTGCACCCCGTTCCCTCCAGCAACGACTAACTGTCTCCTAGAGTCACTATGGACGAGGTAGTGCGTAACAGACAGGTAGGCACCTTGTCAACATGCACATCAAGCGCAGTCACACGGGGGATATCAAATAACAGCCAATCACTTGAGAGAAAGATAACAAAGAAAATAAATCGAGTAATGCATAACGAAACGTGACAAAAACCTTAAATTAATAAGCATGTGAAATAAGGTGTTTACAAAGGATCCGAGATAAGTTCAGGGGGTCGGAAAGTATATTTTACGGAAATGACACAAACGAGAAAATGTTATCGAAATTAACTACAATTGGCTTAAGCGATCTGTGCAATCTTATAGAAGAGCGTACAGGTGGACATCTATTTGAGGAAAAAAAGCATTAGGACAAAATTAAAAACCCACCACCTGAAATAAAGAGACTTCGCGTCCAAGCACGCGATTAGTAAATCGAATGCAGCGTACCTACAAACGCTCCGCTGGTTCTGCCTACGTTCTCTGCAGGACACGTCGTCGCTTCGGTAGCGGTCCCGAGTGGCCTCGCTCATAGCTCACTAAGCCTGCCGGACTCAGGCACTCGCAAGCACATATGCTGGAGCACCATGCGCTTGATGTCGATGGAGAACAACCCATCGCTGCTTGCCACTTCCGCACTTGCCGCTTCTTTTCTGCATGTATAAGGTCATTCTCCCGCACTTCAGCAACTGCCTTCGTGATTAGATCGCGCCATGCACGCCGATCAACCGCCTTCGATTCCCATGACCTGCAATCAAGGTTAGAACGTGAGAGGCTCACTTTAATCATGTCCTGCTAACGCAACTTTGGTTTCCCCACATGCCGCTTCCCAATACTCAGTTGACCATATAGTAATTGTTCGGTGACCGCGTCGAATCCATACGGTTCACATGACCGAGCCACCTCAGGTGTCTCAGCAAAAGTATGCAGTCCACTGCATACACTCCACTTTGTCGCAACACATCCGTGTCTACAACTCTGTCGCCCCAACCGATGCGCGAAATCCGTCGCAAGTACTGCTGATGGAGCCGATCGAGATATCGTACATCCCGCCGGTACATCGTCCTCGCTTCACTGCCGTATAGAAGAACGGACGTCACCATGGATTTGTTCGCCATCAGTTTCGTGCCAATGGTAAGCTGATGGTTGTT